CTGTAATTTAGGTCGTACCAAAAACTGTAATTTAGGTCGTAGCGACTTAATGTTCGCGGAATTCGCGGTTACTACAAATCCGCAAAAGTTTGTCTCCGCTAAAATGCCGACGTTGTGAAAAAACGCGAAATATTGTATCCGCGAACATTTATAGGAATACAGTGTCTTAAAGAGGAAATAATGACGGAGGTGCGTTACGAACTTTTGTTTTTATCGTGCAGCATTTTTATGTATATAATTATATATTCATCACGTGTCTGAGTATTAACACTATTATGTGAAGCAGACGCCAATTTTTTTTTAAAAGCTTTTAAATGATTATTAAGCACCATCTTTTTCTGTTCAATATGCTTTGTAGCTACATGTAAAATTTTATTTTTACATAGACCGAGGTGCGTTACGAACGTCTTTTTTCTATCATGCAGCGTTTTCTTTTTATATACGAGGGATGATCAAAAATAAACCGGACTGTGACTGTCAATTGAAGAATTTTCAACACATCACTTATTGTTATATATCACACTTAACCGGAAAACAATACCTGTTAACTGATGCTTTATCTAATCTGATAACGCAAAAAACTTGTCCGTAACAGCAAATTCAAAAACCATGGTAACGCATACCCGGCGCAGTGCGTAAATTCGCCTTGACACCAGGCGCTTTAAGCTGCGTATATTTTACAATATGGCACATTTAGATTTCAAAATACGCAAAAACGTCATGAACCATATCTTTGACGTTGTCAGTAAAAATGACTTCATTTAAATCATATTTATATTTGCAATCACGATTCAAACGTCACATGTTAATGAAATACTCCCGTTACAATTAGTCGTCTGAATGTCTCGAAAATCGATCAATAAGAAAAAATTATCAAAAGTAAGACGAGAAACTGTTTAAAACGAAGAAAAAGATTATGGCTATCAAGGGAAAAGTTCCAGAAAGCCACAGCACATTTTTTCATTAGCTTAAAGAATTAAAAACGGGTAATAGAGAAATAGAACACAAGTAAGGGAGAGACGAAAAAAGAAATTTTCAAGGACGTTGGTGACGTCAATCGCCAAGACGTTGAAAAATGACAAGTCGATTAACTGCGGACATTGTCAAGGATGTTCGAAGTAGCTACGGGACGGTGCATTCAACTCTAAGGATTTTAAAATGATAATAGTTAATGCATTAATTACATATATTGTATTCTTGGTTTACAATTGTATCAATTATTTTCTTATTTTACGCAGTAGTTTTTTTGAGAAACTGTGTCAACAATTAGACAGTCACTGTTCAAAATCGGCTATGCGTTTTATTTATTTTAAAATAATGACAATTTTGTTCATAGTTGTATTATCCTTTTATCTTTTCTTATGTATGATATATTATCATTCAGCAACATTATTTTACATTATTTGTAATACAAAATATAGTTTATTGCATGTGCAATTTTTCCAACAATCAAGTTACAGAAGGAAAGAACGGAAATTTGCGTCATTACAGGAGTTCTTTATCATCATCCATTCTTTTACAATACAATATGTTACCCACTTGTACAGAAATATATATAGGCGGTGGATCCGCCGCATCAACAACATGACTGTACCACTTATTGGCATACTCTGTGAATGAGTAAAAAACTGCTCCGTTAGGGAAAATACGCTTGTGACGTCGTTAACGTCAATTTCAAAGTTATACCGTGCGCCGCATTGCTTTACATGTACATGACACTAACTGCATAACTTTTTTATTTGTTTATATTTCTTGTTGGTATTTTTTGTATCATTTAGGGAATAGATTCCGATTTATGTTCCGTGTATTTTTATGTAAATTCATTTAACAGGTAACGAATCATTTACAAAGTCCGGTTAATTTTTGATCATCCCTCGTATATATTCATCACAATGTTTGTGTATCAACGATATTTTGTGAAGAAAATTTCTGTTTGATTTCAGAAATTTTCTCACAAGTGTCAAATAGTATTAGCTCAAATATCTTAAAGAGAAAATATTGACTGATTATGAGCACGTACATGTGAATAAAGTTATATAGGTACATTATCAAAAGGGACTGGATATGCTATCGATACATAAGGACACATGTTATCAATACTGTTCAGTGAAATATAAGTGTATATTGGCTTAGATAAATTGTTGATTCATAGTTCTTATACATTTGTAATATACATGTGTCGAAGGGAATTTATAATTATTTTTCTGTTTGCGGCAAGTTAAGAATAATTATGTTTCCAAGTCAATGTGCAGTCCATGAGACATAAATTGTATGTATGTATGTATGTATGTATGTATGTATGTATGTATGTATGTTTGTATGTATGTAGTATGTATGTATGTATGTATGTATGTATGTATGTATGTATGTATGTATGTATGTATGTATGTATGTATGTATGTATGTATGTATGTAATGTTCAGTTTGCTGGTATAGGAACATGTTGGTTATTTATTTTCATATGTAATCCTTTCAATTGTTGATGTGCTGCTTAATTAGCAATCCTTTCTTTAAAGGTCTTTTCAATATGAAAATGACAACCAACATTAATAAGTTTAGAATTTTATAGTCTTTTTCTCAACCCTAACGCATAAACAATTAGTTTTTTGTTCTTCTTCTATTGCTACTACTCTGAAATTAAGTTATCTCTCTGATATTGTAATAAGATTCAGGTTGTTTTATTTTGCTTGAGAAATTAATTTTGGAACCTACTTATTAAAATGGCGATCACGTAGTGTACTGCCGTAGCTTCTATTTTTGATTTAATGATTACACTCACTTTAATTTTTCTGTTTTATTCTATAAGAAAATATTTGTTCATTGGAACCACTGTATGTATTCTTCTTTGAATACTTGTATCCAACTGCTTTGGTAGCATACACCTTTAGTCACTGACAGCTTAATGTCTAATACTTCTTTCTTTATATATATAATGACTTCTAAATCGTACATGCAGAGAAAAATGCTACCAAAGCAGTTTATTTACTCTTTTCTTTTCCACCCTTTTGTCCCTTTTCGTGTGTAATTGTGTAAATGAACGAACCTCTTAACTTTTTAAAATGTCTTATATATTCTGATATAATACCTGACTAAAAACATAACAAAATAAATTTATTTTTAATTATCTACATATCAATGAAACGGCTAAAGTTATCATGGTTTGTACTCTTGTATTGTATTATTTTTCTTAAATAAGCGTGCATTCAACGTGGTTTCAAAAAATTAGTTTGGCCAGTATTATTAATATTTTCAAAAACTAAAATATTAAATAAGTCCGACAAAAAGCCAATAAGTTTTTACCTGATTTGCCTTTTTCCTTCCAGAACATATTTATATCACGCTCGACTGGATTTTGTTCTGCTTTAAATAATGCATTTAAAGTCTTGCTCTTGGTCAAACCGTTTGATTGTTTGTCCTTCCATTCGTCAAATGCTTCTTTTATTTTGCTCTTGAAAAAAAAAAACTTTATCGCATCAAAATAATTTTTAAGAATAATTTCAAGAAAGGTTTATTTATGTCAGACATCTTCAACAAGAACTGGTGTCTTATTCAACAAAACAGGTAGTACATGTAACAGGCAAAGCATTGTTTGTGAAAACAAATATTTGTGCACTTAAATAACTGTTATGATAAAGATTGTATGTCTATAAAAGCTCTTTTGAACTGGTAACCGAGTCTGGAATATGTTCAATTTTGTCTTTTTTTGCCTTCTTTAGGGATTCCGTTTTTCTCTATTTTTCCTTCTTTTATAAGCAATACTTGTATAGACGCACACCTGATATTTCAAAATGCTTGATCATGTTCTTTGTATTTTACCATTTCTGTGTTGTTAACTCGTAGATTACGATGCAAATTGCAAACTTTAGATCTTATCTATTTCAGAAAGTAAAGATCTGTTGAACTGACTTACTGTATGAAAATGATCTTTTCTTTATTTTTCTCCGTAATTGCCTTGTTTGTATTTTCCAAAATACCACCTTCTTCTTTATCCACTGAGTATTTTATTATTGTATTTATTTACATACACCGTGTTGAAGAGTAGATATTTAAAAGAAGAAAATAAAACTTACTCGTGCTCTTATTCCTTTCAACGTTTCTTCCATATTTAGTATAAGAAATCTTCATGAACTATTTTTAGTAATGTAGAACTAAGAAAAAATACGCACATTTCCTTATCTTTAGTCAATCATTTGGAAAATGTACTTTCCTACGCTATATATACACAAACAATAAGCTATTGTTTGTAAGGAAGTAGTATTTAACCAGTTCGTAAATAAACAATGAACTATCGTTCAAAATCAATTGGTTTGGAAATTTGTATTGCCTTCGAACAATTTGCTATCATATTTATAATCTTCTTTTTTGTATTTGACCGAGTATTGATTTTTTGTGTAGTAAGTAGAGAAAAAACTCCTGTATTAACCTTATTTGATCGTGGGACGTTTTATGTTATGTATACGCTTTCAATTTCTCGTTAAAGTTTGACTTAATCTGTTCTTCCAGTATTGTTGAAGATTCAAAATTCGAGATGAGCCTCTCGTATTAAGTATTAACACTTATTAAGATATAAAGTTATTACCATTGTCTCGCCAATTAAAAGAATGTTATCTATTGAAGAAGAGAACAAATTTAGTTTTTGAACTTCTTACTAGTAGTTAATTTCAGTTGAAAAACAAGCGTTATATTAAAATTTACAGCTACAAAGAAAACAAAATGAATTACGTTATACACCATTAAGAATGATAAATGTGCATCAAAAGTGTTTTTGTGATATTTTATTATATTCTGGTGTCGTATGTGTTTGACATGGCTTCATTTCTCATGTGTGTGTGTCCGTTAATAACCATATGATATTTTGTTTGTGAGCATAAATGCAGTTAAATACAAACTAAATATCTCTTAATATCTCTCCGTATCATCTAAGTTTTATCTTTCTTACTTTTATTAAATAATGGAAAGTTATACAATATCAAATGCACAAACTAATCTTTTTTGTTTAGCCTGTGGAGATAATTGTTTTGAAGATGTCTGCAATCAAAAATCCGGAGAATGTACTAAAGGTTGTAAACCAGGATGGCATGGAAAGCTCTGCGACAACAGTTAGTATTTGTTTTATTTCTCCAAGCCATTGAAACGATTGATAAGCTTAATATATATTCTATGTTTGATACGATTTAAATTTTTACATTCTAAAAGGGTTGAGTCGCTACGTGCAGGGGGGCAGAGAGATGGAGAGAGAGTTTTATTATAAAAAATCATAAAATATTTACTGAACTAAAATATTGTTTTGTACTTCAGTTAAGATAATTGTAAGAGTTCAGAAATACATGCATAACATATAAGACGTAGTACACGTATAAAGGAGTAATGATACACACCATGTTTTTCAAAGCCACTAATATATATAGAATATATTTCTTTCATATGTAAAATCAGGCATTCTTTATGAAAACTAAGAAATGCATTTTAAACAATTCTATTTTTTAAACTAAAGGTAATCGCAAATTGATTATTTAACGACATATTCAAAAAATTAAAAAAAAACACTAATAATTATGATAATGTCGTGGCTTCGCCTTGAATCGTGGATAGGTTAAAATCGCGAATTAATGTTTGTATGATGAAATAATGCATTTGGCAAGTTTGTATTTATTCATATTTTGTCGTTAAAAATTGAAATTATTGTATTAATCAAATTATTAGACCCTTTGTCCGTTTGTTTACTTTTTCGACAAACCACAACAACATGCTTATTTCGGGTGTTTGGAACAGATGAGATTTTATATTGCATCAAAATTGCCCCCCCCACCCTTAAAGTCTCGCAGAATTATAAATTAAAATATATACAGAATATTATGTTGTAGTAGCTTTTTGAGGCTATGTATTTTGCTAAGAGCAGCGGTGGAAAATTGATATCTCGCTAGACCAAAGGTCGAGCGAGATATCAATTTTCCAACGTTGCGAGTAGAAAAATACATAGCCTCAGAAAGCTACTATAACATAATTTTCCTTTTATTATATACCTTTCCGTTTCAGTCAGAAAATGAAATGTAGTTGTAAAGAAATAAATTCATGGATGAATACGTAATTCATGCGATACCGTCCACGCTTTTTATAATTTTGGTTCCCGTTTCCAAATGCAACGTAATACAAAAGCTAAGATCGGAACCAACGTCAAAAATAGTCCGGCACTTCCATACATGGTACCGTATTTGTCACTAACATAATACGGAATTTTCTATCCGTTGAAGTGTATTTACGCTTCAAGATTTGCGTGTATTTTAGGGAGAAAATTTATAGGTATATAATATTATTAAAAAAACATATTGCTTTATAAAAATATCATTTGCATTTGCTGCTACAATGTATTTAATGTATAAAAAATAAACGCAGAATAAAAGTTGCGCTGCTGTTTAATTTTAGTTTGATACTAAACTTTTACAAATCTTAACGAGAACTTTTAAGTACCGAATAAATGATCAAATCTTTCTTTAAATCGTTTAAGATGTGATGCACTATTCATATAATAAATTGGTTAGGTAGCTTGAAATAGTTTACTGAGATTTGGCTAATGCTTTCTTATACATTTTAGCCACAACTCAAAAAAAAATGCAAAATGCATGTAAATGCAAAATGGTACCCATATAAAATGAGTTAAATAATCGGAAATAAGTCTTAAGAATAGATCATGACAGTGCAGAATACAAATAATTTACGTGTAATTTCCATGTTTGTTTCTGTGACTTCATCATACGTCATTGGTCATTATTTTAAGAAATACCAACAACTCTTGGTAAACTAAGCATATATTTCGTACTTTACCTGAACTTAATTGATTATCTAATAATTTATTCGCACAGGCGTTTCATACAAAGCATAGTTTTATTTTCAAATAAGAAATATGACACACCAACTTTATTTCCCCCTCAATTATTATTCTTTGGGGTTCTTTTTCTTTTTTCAAACAGATTTGTATTTATTTGTTTCAGCAGCAGAGATACGGTGTGAATTTTTAATAATTGTAAAAAAGAAAAAGAAAACTACAATGTCGTAGATATTAAAAAAACAACCAGACATTTCTCAATTTACTGTGAACGTTATCTCAATAACTACTCATTTTTAAAAGGAGAAAAAACAGAATATTCAAATATGAATTAAAGTAAAGTAAATTGTAATTCAACTATTGCCTAATATTACCGCTTATCATACACTTGAATTTATAAATTTTACTTATTTTTCCTGTTCAATTAATTGCAAATATTCTATTTTTATGCTAAAGGTATAAAAGTAAATTGACTAATAAACAACATCTTTAGTTATTATAAGAACAATAATAATGATGATTTTGTTTATATTTGAGTAAGTTTAATTATATCTCTTACATTCGTTTAAATGATTTATAGGATGATGTTGAATCATGATTTTTTTTTTGTTAAGATTTTATAACTTGTCAACAAAAACATTTACTTACTACACTATTTTTGAAAATAGTTTGTTATGGTGGTTCCTATGGCAAGAACTGCGCGGAAAATTGTAGCGAACATTGTGCAGGTGGACAAGTGAATTGCGAAATCATCAATGGAGATTGCCGATCAGGTTGTAAACCAGGATGGACTGACCCACTTTGTGACAGAGGTTAACTTAACTTATTATCTAATCGATACTTTGCACTGGCATATTACAGAAAGCATTATTTAATCTAAAAGTATGACAGACCCATTTTATTCTTTATTTCTCCATCAAGAATGATAAATAGTGTTTCGTTTCGTTATTTGTCACATATGATACAGTTCATAATGTTTGAATCTACACCTAAAAGTATCCCCCCTTGAACGTTAGTGCTACCTAATATATATTTTAAGGAAATATTGTAGGGGTCCCCATTATCTCAATTTCAAGAATTTAAAACTCTCTGCATATACAATATTTCCTAACATGTTTTGCTTTTCTATAGTGTCATTAATATTGAAGGAAATATATTTAGTTATTATTTTACATGATGATCCATATCTAAAATTAAAGAATTATCCTCCTCCACATATGACGAGTTCTTTGGTTTATACAGAATTTATTTTAGTTCGATTGTGTAGGAAGCTATTAGCTTATAAACACACTTTCGAATCCGTTCCTGGAACCAACCAGTACTGAGCAATGAGTGTAAAGTTTCTTGCTCAAGGAAACAACGACTTGCCCCTGTTCTTTATGATGCTTTGTCCTATGGTACTTAATAATTAATAGAAAGGATACTTTATGTAAAGCCATATTTCTATTTACACGTTAATTGATAGCTGTTTGTGGTTATTTCCTTTTATTATATTACATTAAGTTGACAATCAATGAGAAATGTTACATATTGGTAATCCTTTTCAGAATGTCAGCCTATGTCGTTTGAGGTAGAATGTAGTGAGAAAAGTTTGACCACTTGCAAAAGTTTTATTTTTAACTAACTGTTGTGTTATGTATGCTTTAGAATATGTTTATTATTTTACTTCGTTACTAATAAAATGTTTCATAAAACGCAAGATAATTACATATAAAGGTGAACTGTAATTTGCGTGTTATTTTTGTTTATATTTTGATCTGTACATATTTGACAGCATCCATATATTGGTTATTTCTGAACAAGTGTCATTTGTATGTTTCTATGGTTTTACTTTATTTTTAATTTAAAAAATCAAGACTACTTCAACTGTTACTTCATCTATTACATCATAAACAGAATGTACATATGGAAAGTTTGGTGAACAATGTCAGGAGGACTGCCCATTAAATTGCAAGCTTGGTGCATGCCATCATGTCAACGGGGATTGTAGTCATGGGTGTAATCAGGGCTATAAAGGAAATAAGTGTACAGATAGTAAGTTTTCTTATATCTTGTAGTGTTTTTATTATATAGTTCGTTATAAAACGTTTAACATTTTGATACGATTGCAACGATTAATTAGTGTTTTATCAACTATATTGATTCGGTAAAAATATAAAATGTAATTGTATACCTGTAAATGACTGCTATATTTGTCGACGTACATTTTAAATACTCTTATCAATACTTTAAAAGTAATTGGTCAATGAACAGGTTATAACAAAGCTACTTGACTACTTGTCATAACTGTATTCAATTCTACATTTAACAATGAAAAACAATTATTACGTAGCCGACAGAAATGTTTATTATTTAAAAGAGTCTTTTTATAGCTATGATCGTTTGATATTGTGACATAAACACTTTTCAATATCAGTATGTGTTAAATCACCATGATATTAGTCATTTTTAAATATATTACTGATTCCACTTTTTCTATAATTAAGAGACCCCAAGGCGGGCCAATTTGACCCAAGGGGACGATAAATAACACTTTCATAGACGTTCATATGGTACTAGTAATACTTAATGCTAAATTTCTTAGCTAGTTGTATTGAAGTTTCATAAAATATGACTGAAATGTGTTTGTCATTCAAGACTGCATCACCTAATTAACCCCAGGGGCCAACATTGACCCAAGGACCATGATAAATACATTTATACATGTTTCATCTAGTCAACAAGACGATGCTACATGTGAAATATATTGACTCTAGGCATTGTAGTTTCAACAAAATAAGCCACGAAATGCGATTTCTACACAAAAGTATAGTAAGTAAGTGATTTCAGGGCTAAAGCAACATTGACCCAAGGCGCATGATTAATAATTGTTACTTTGTGGACCACTGAGTGATGTTACATGTCAAATATCTGCATTCTGTACATCGTCATTTCTCGCAATAAGTCAGTAATTTTCGTAAAACAGTCTATATAAATCAAGTGACCTCTGGAGCGGTTCCAATAATTAACCAAAATGCATGGTTCGTATCAGTTTTGTAAAGGTGAATATTGCAATTTTGCGTGCAAGATATCTAGGCACTAAACATTGTAATTTCACCCAATGAAACTTAAATGTGTTTTTACTTTATGCTTAAAACATTTCTCATGATTAAAATAGATATGATAGTTATCACTTAAATCAGTGTGCGCTGCAAAAGTGTAATAAAACCATCTAATAAAACAAGTAAATAATCAATTTTTTAACCATTTGCCCGGTTTGTTCACAACAACAATATGCTTGTTTCCGGTGTTTGAAACAGGTGAGACTTAATTTCGCGCAAAAATTAGCCGCCGCCCCCCTTAAACTCTCGCTGAACTATCAGTTGATATTTATAAAATAATTGAGGGTCACCAGGGTCTTCTTATCTATCATCTAACAATGATCAAATTTGAAAGGAATTTAGAAATCATTTGTTGTATCTCTTTCTTTTTTAAATTAGTTATGTTTGTTGAAAAAACAAAATTTAGGGGTATTTGGTACTACACTCAGAGGCACTTATAACCCGACACTGACAATTTTTCTGTATAAATAGGTTATTTGTGAACGGATTTTGTTCAAATTTGGACTTAACAAAATTCAACATATCATACTTACTACTTGAAATTATATTTACAATTCACGAATAAGAAAATAGAAAAAATAGCAAAACAAATATGCTACTGTTAAATGAAAAGTCACAAAATGACTGTAAAAATCGTAACACAATGACAGTCTCTGAATCCCATGACACCTGTATTTTTACAAGTTTTAACACTTTGTATGTCCTCCCAATTGGCTATAACAAAGTATACACCTCTGCCTCACAGATCTCTATTTCTTAATAAGGGTTAGATCGTTTCCCAGAAAATTGCGATGAGTTTTTTTTGCCGCTTTCCCACACGCCTGTTCAATTCAGCCGACAACTGTGATGTTTAGATCGGGTGACTTGAAATGCAGGACTTGCTAGAACTCGAGGAAGCCCTTATTTCGCATTGTAGAAATATTACCCAAGCCTTCACTTTGTTATAACCATGATACGGGTGTTTACACTTTGTTATAGTCATGGGATGACACAAAAATTATTAGAACTGGTTTTTATACAGAATTAGTTGGATTTAGAGACTTTTCATTGTGTTACGATATTAACATTCATTTTGTGATTTTTCGTTTTGCAGTAGCATATTTGTTTTCTTATTTTCTTTATTTTCTTGGTAATGAATTGGAAGTAAAATTCTAGATAAATTAATATGATATGTCAAATTTTGTATGTTCCAAACTTGTATGAACAAAATCTGTTCACAATAACCCAAGATATACAGAAAAATGTAAGTGTCGGGTTATAAGTGCATCTGAGTGTATTGAAAACTACATTAATTGCTTAATTTAAATATCATTTGCATTTGCTGCTAGAATTTTTTAAAGTATAAAAAATTGAACGCAGAGTTAAAATTGTGCTGCTGTTTAATTTTGTTTGATACTAGACTTTTACAGATCTTAATAAGGATTTTTAAGAACCGAATAAAAAATTAAATCTTACTTTAAATCGCTTAAGACACTAGACATATAATGATGGTTAATAAATTTATAAGGTAACTTGAAATAGATCACTGATATTTGAGAAATGTTTTTTGCACTGGTATTGACATACATTTTAGCCACGACTCAAGGAAAAGCAAAATGCATGTAAATGCAAAATGGTACCTATATGAAATGAGTTAATTAATTGATAATAAGTCTTAAGAAATGCATAAACGATCGTGACTGTGCAGAATACAAATAATTTTCGTGTCATCCTGTCACATCATCACATGCCATTGGTCTATTTCTAGAAATGTAAATAAAGTGTATATCTCGTACAAAATGAATAATAGGACGATGTTATGTCACATTTACTTGTTAAGTTGTTATGACTTGTCAACAAAAAGATATCTACTTATTACAATATTTTTGAAAATAGAGAGATAATGCTAGTTACAATGGTCAACTATTGTTATGCTTAATGTATGACATTGATCATTAACGTCATATCTAACGAGTATAAAAACCAATAGTAATAATTATGATAGTGTTTATATTTGAATAAGTTGAATTACATCTCGTACATTCGTTTAAATGAATATTAGGATGATGTTGAGTTTTTATAATTATAAACATGTGTATATTGTTATATTTGACTGGTTTACTTTTTTATAAATTGTCAACAAAATACATTTACGTATTGGCATACTTTTGAAAATAGGGTGTTATGCTAGTTATTATGGCAAAAACTGCACGAACAAGTGTAGTGAACATTGTGCAGGCGGACACGGAAATTGCGATACTATCAAATGACATTGTCGATCAGGTCGTAAATCAGGTTGGACTGTTCCACTTTGAGACAGAGGTTAAATTAATCGATTGTTTCAATATTTGTTCGCAAAAGACGTTTCATACAAAGCATGGTTTTATTCTCAATTATGAACTATGACACACCCTCTTTATATTCCTTCAAGAATGATTATTCGAGTTTCGTTTCGTTTTCTTTTTTATCGAACAAGTTGGTATTTAATTGTTTTGGCAAAGGAGATATGGTTTGAATGTCTTTTTGTGATTTTTCAAAAAAGTTATAAAACCCAAAGATGCCGAAGATATTTAAAACAATCTATCTGACATTTCTCGATTTACTGTGTACGTTCTGCCAATTACGACTTAAGTTCAAAACATATATAATCAACAGTTTATTTATATATAAATAAATTTTAAGTAAACTGTCAAACATTTATTGCTTAACATTAGACGATAGCATACACATGGATTTATAAAAAAATGCTACTTTGTCCTGTAAAATTTCAAGTAACGCATAAAAATGCTTATTTTTATACACACATAGTTAATAGAGCGATACTTCTTAAAAATGGCTCGTAAGCAGTAAAAAATAAAACGAGTAAAAATCTAGCAACCGACATTCGTATCTATTCTTAAATTCCACATTCACTTATTAAAAAGTAGTTAGACTAACGCATGTATATATGATAATATTGGCATAAATAGATGCCCGATGATATGGTTCTTTTAAATATAAATAACTGATCTTAAATATACATGTATATATTTTTTCTATAACTTGTCAACAAAACTATATTTACTTATTAGCATATTTTTGAAAATAGAGTGTAATGCTGGTTCCTATGGTCAAAACTGCTCGGAAAAGTGTAGTGAGCATTGTACAGGTGAACAAGGAAATTGAGATACTATCAGTGGACATTGTTGATCGGGTTGTTATCCAGGATGGACTGGCCTACTTTGTGACAAACTTAATTGATTATCTAATTAATTGTTCGCACAGACGTTTCATACAAAGCACGGGTTTATTCTTAAATATGAACTAAGAGACACCCATTTTATATTCCTTTCAAAATGCTTATTCGGGTTTCTATTTTATTTATTTGTTTTCGCAAAGGAGATATGGATTGAATGATTTAAGATGACTGCTTTAAAAAGAAATAAAACACTGCGATGCCGTAGATATTTAAAAGCAATCAGACATTTCTCGAATTAGTGTGTACTATCTTTCAATCACGACTTCATTTAAAAAATGTATAATTAACAGTTTATTTCAATATATAAATTAATTTAAGTAAAATGTCATACATTTATTGCTCAACATTACACGATAGCATACACATGGTTCCACTGCAAAGAGCAATATTTCTGCCTTGCCTAATTCTGGAACTATCGCATTTTGAACTTTGTCCAGGGACATAACTCTGAAACTACAAGAGGTGTACTTTCCTGTGTCAAAAACTATTTGGGGAGCATCACTCGGTTCAAACTGGGCTCTTGTTTTTATTGTCTTGACAATTGTTTTCACAGCGGCACGGGAAATGAATTTCTTGCTCGTAGGCTCCAAACTGGAGTTTCCGGTCTTCTCTGATCTTATAGTATATTTCTAAAAGGGGTCATATTTTACAATTCTTGTTTTTGTTACACTTTTAAGATGAACACATGCTATTTTTATTGAGGTATTACCATTTTTGGAAGAGTATTCAAATAGGCTAGAACTACTGTTAACTACATTGAAAATGAGGGCCGTGGGTTCAATCCTCATAAGGGTCAACTTTTTTTCTTTCTTTTTTTCTTTCAACATTATTTATGTATCTCTCATGTCCCATTTGGAAAGAAAAAAAATGTTTAATTTTTTTTTAAATTTATATAGGTATTTATTGGCTAAATTATGCTAAATCTAGTAATAAATATGGTACCTGATATTTTCAAAGTGTAATAAAATCAAAACTAGACGGTAAAAGTATTTCATATTTTACAAGATCAACCAATATATTTCTTTAAAAATTTAGGGAAACTTTGAAAACAGGCACTGATTTGGGTAAATTTAAAAGATTTTTTAAATTAGGCTCCCTCAGTAGGAAAATAGTCAGACACATAGTAAAAATGGGTGGGGTAGGGTAACATTTTTCTACAGATTTCATAAATTTTGAGTGAAAACCTTAATTTTGCTTATGTGGATTGTTAGCTGAATGGTACTTTTTGTTTCTTACCAATAATTAATAGGAAAACATTTTTCATTAGAATGTTATTGCAGATTATTTAAAGGTTCCTCATTTCTAAAAAAGGCCCTCATAACATCCTAACTAAAGTTCAGAAAAGTGGCCATTACTTGATTTCCGTACGGTAAACTTTGTTTAAATTGTGCATACAGGTGTACTTCAAGGTATATATCTAACCTTTGATGTCAATTATTTAGTCCTTATAGTGCCCATTAGGGTCGTAATACCTTAATCTGGTCATATTTTTTCTTCCCAGGTCCGATACTCGTGCCTGTGGAACAGGCTCAATCAAACCGATCCTGCAACATTTTCAATTTTTGTCTTGTTGGGCTTTCTTTAGGTATTCTTTATTTCTCTCTATTTTATCGCCATATCAGTGTTGATTGTGCGATGTGGAGGCTGCAAAAACTCGCCCCGTACGTTCAATCAGGGTTGTTATATTTTCGATACTTCTAAAAGATCGTTCAACACGACATTATTATTGTGTTTGTGGTACTTTTAGTTTTTACCTTTTGGCATTTATCTTCTTGAGTAGTTCCAATATTCCTACTTTAATAATGTTGCCTGGATTTTAAAGTTTTCTTTTGACGTCATATCTGTAATAAGCAGCCTTCATTACATCTAGTTCCTTTTCAAAATTCAATTTTATTTTGTTCCGCCCATTGTTTTTTCGTTTAGGGCACATGTATTCTTTTACTTGGAGACCATTTGCCGCTTTTCATGGAATGACACAAAAGTGTCAATTAAAGGTTCAATAATTATCGCCGTATGAACACATCTACGGATGTTTCTTAATTCAATTTTTCACCATTACCATGATTAAATGTTGCATTCTGCCTAAACCGATGCTATGAGGCGTGGACGGTAAATTGCACATTCAATAACTGTCCATGAACAGGCTCAATCAAACCAAGCCTGCAACATTTTCCATTTTGTCTGTTGGGCGTTCTTTAGGGATTCTTTATTTCTCTCTATTTTGTCATATGTTGTCGAATATTGGTAGATGTCCGTTAAACATTGTCTTTGCCCAAATGTTAAATCTATACTAAAATGCCAATATGAAATCTCCAGCCATTTTGGTTTCATTGAAATCGATGAAAATTTAATTATTATATGCTATCAGTAAAGCCTCATCAGTGATTCCAACCTTTAATCAATTTTAAATCTAACTTGAACTATCATACCATATTTTGTACATGTCTGCTAGAAAAATGTTTCATGACACATAAATAAACCCTTCGCCTTGTGTTTCTAAATATCTAACAAAAAACATGACTTCTACAGGGTCAATGCTGACCCTTTCCTTTTTTTAGCAGTGTGGGAACAGATTAAAACATTAAATACTTTAGCTCTTGTCCTATTTATTTAGAAGACGCCTTTTTAAGTTTTGCTTTCAATATAAAAGGAACCCAATGACCTTCGGTGGGACCAATATTGATCTCAAATTAACAATGTGAATAATCTTTGATGAGATTTACTAGAAACTGTTTCATGCAAAATATAAAACCGCTAATTCTTTGGTCTAAATGAAGAAATGTTAACTTAAAACATAAGGCAGAGGGGACACCGTTTGTAAAACTTCAAAATTCATTTATAATTGGTTTCAAGGAGATATTGTTTTTGTTAAGAAATACCTTAGTAAAAATTCACTATGAAGAACATAAGGGTAATTGTTCATCACCTAAAGATGAGTTAAAACTCTTTAGAACTTTCATAGAGATTATTATGAAGTTCCTTGTTTACAACTATAACCGTAAACTACTTCCATGAAAACATCTGACAGGCTATCTGACAGGCAGAAACAAATGTCTATATAACCATTTCCTAGCAGATCAAAGGTAACTGAGTATATAACGTAAGCAATATGATTACACTACAAACATCTATGTATCTACATCTAGTACAATATTGCATATATGTATAAAATATAACTAAAAATCTAATATAGTAACATGAAAGAAACAAAGATTATCTGACAAGTTGTATGCAAATATATAAACAACAAATATCTATTTAACCTTTACATAACAGATCAAGTTATTTTTTTAGCATGACTGAGCATACAGTATCGTTAATTTGTCGCATTAAATTTAGATATTTAATGTTAGCAAAACAAAAGACGTCAAATACAAACGTCCCTAGTCCAGATATTTGTAACACATTTTCTAAAACAGGTTTACTCATTCACTCCATTAGTGACGGAAAATTGCCAAACGAATTTATAACTTTACAAAATCATGACTTATTGTTATATTGTGAAAAATATAAGTAGGCTTGTCAATGCTTTTTGATTATATTGAAAAATATTAACTTAACAATATAATTTTATTAAATAAATATAAATGCTAGACACTGACCTTGAACCAAGTGACCCCAAACTGTAAACTTAAAGGACCACCTGAGGTATGTCTCTGCCCAAATATGAGACTCAAAAAGTAGGAATAAATTTAAGAAACTTATTAAAAAATCATGTATAAATAAACTCACTGTAGCAATGCCGAACATTTAAAAGAAAAAGCGTGATATAAGGGCTGTCTTACTTCGGAATCTTTTGTACAAGCTGCTATCATACTGATTTTTTTAGTTTATTAATAGAATTGAACATTTCAAACAAACAATAAAATACAGTGAAAGTACTTTTTCAGGGCTGTTCTAGAGATATAGACTGAAAACAAGGTGGTAAAATTCTATAGGTGGCGGAACTATTTTCTAAAATGTTGCTCAGAACCCGCTATTTTTGTAGTGCACATGAAAATGTAATTGTGACCTGTCAGGAAAAACTGAACAATTGCAGATTAACCTTCAATTTCAGACTTCAGTAAGTCATTTAATTATATACCTATAAATTTTCTCCCTAAAATACACGCAAATATTGAAGCGCAAATACGCTTCAACGGATAGAAATTTCCGTATTATGTTAGTGACAAATACGGTACCATATATGGAAGTGCCGGACTATTTTTGACGTTGGTTCCGATCTTAGCTTTGTATCACGTTGCATTTGGAAACGGGAACCAAAATTATTAAAGGCGTGGCCGGTTTGCAAGAATTACGTATTCATCCGTAAGTCATGAATTAATTTTTTGACAACTACATTTCATTTTCTGAATAAAACGAAAAGGTATATAATAAAAGGAAAATTATGTTATAGTAGCTTTCTGAGACTATGTATTTTTCTACTCGCAACGTTGGAAAATTGATATCTCGCTCGACCTTCGGTCTCGCGAGATATCAATTTTCCACCGCTGCTCGTAGAAAAATACAAAGCCTCAGAAAGCTACTACAACATAATATTCCGTATGTATACCAAGCAGCTCAGTGTCTTAGGGTTTGAATTAGCGTTCGTTAGCGTTAATTAAACGCTGCTTTTCCTATGATATTTCTTAGGAACAGCTGATTTATGCTCCATTTATATTTTGCACCTAGAGTTACAAGCAAACTTCTACCAGTACAGGCAATCCAAGTACAAATGCTCACATGTGCAAATACACAAAACGATTTGGAGTATATGTTTGAACGAACTTCACTGGAGTAGAATATATTAAATCTTGCATAGGAATTAAAACATAACAACTTGATTAACAAGTTCAACTATTGCTAGATATGTAACAAATGATCACATGTGCAAATACACAAAATGCTATTGAGCATATAATATTAGATTGAGTCACACTGGTTATAGTGTATTATATAAAAAACACATGCATAACCGTAAAATATCATGTAAAGGAAAATACTATTACCCAAGGTGTTAACC